GGCTACTTATTGTTGTGTTGGTTATTTGAAATTGTCTTTTGTGAGAGTATTTTGTAAATAAAAATCAACAAACCACAAACCAGGACCACCCTGCCCCCATCCACTAAGAGTCTCCATGCCAAGCAGGACAGGCCATCTCGGGGAGGGCTGCTGCAGGAACAGGGAGGCCTTTCAGATCAGTTTTGAGTTTCCTTGGAGTGGCCCAAGGATATTGTCCTCTACCCTTTAGCAGATAGTTGAAGCTTTTGTTGAAGGGACAGATAGTGGCCGCGTGGCCGCCCAGCACATAAGCAAAATGTTCCCCACCCCAGTGAAATCAGGTAACTTTGATTTTTCTCTTTCTTTAGGCTATGAACTGATGACCTGAGTGTTTATAATTTGTCTCCAACTATTGAGGATTTGAAGTTTAGTAACAGAGTAGATGCAATGAAAACTTTCCATGTACTCCCCCAGCCCTCTGGCTTCTTTTAAGCCATTTGCCAGACAGACAAAGAAAACAGCTCCACTCCCACAGAGGCTAAAGTTTTTACCTGTGCCACAACAAAATTTCTCTGAGCTGAAAAGGTGGAGATAGCTGTTTGGGACTCAAAAACCTTGAGTGTTGTAAAATAGAATTCGCAACACAGCTGTCCTCCTGCAGGAAAGAGTTATTCTCCTCCTTCCTTATCTAATAAGCAAGGCCAGAGAGCTTAAACTCTCTTGGGGTTTCTATTGTTTTGTCATGTTTTTCTTGCTTGGGACTTTTCTTTTGTATCAGGGATTGAACTCATGACCGACCTTTTGCCAGCCTGGTGCTTATGTTGCTGAGCTAAATTCCTGGCCCAGGACTTGATTGCTGAGCCAGTTTTTCTGTGGCTATTTCAATAAGTTTATAATCATTAGGATACTTCCTAATCAAAATCCACAAAAGAAATGTAAATAGTGGACTCAAGCATACAACAAATAGCTCCAATATATAATTCCGATTCTTTAAAAATTGTGTCTCATAATTACACCACTAATGAAATCGATATACCTCTTCTTTTTCTTTCTCCTGGGGAAGAGGTTTCTCACAAAGCTTTTTCTAAGTGGCCCTAGAGAATTCAGTGCCGCACTCTTTACACCTGTGAAGCTAACATCCGTGTGCTCCAGTGATGACTATTGACCTATATCAGTGCACTTCTCCTAATTGGGCACATATGAGAAGTGTCCCTTTGCCCCCAATCTCTTACCCCTTCCGTGTTCAGGTGACATATGCTGCAACCCATGCTCTTCTTGAGGTTCCTGGAGTGAAAGACCGAGGGAGGATGAGAAAATGAAGAGAAGACCAAATCTGGGGTCAGGCAGAGCCCTTACCCCGCTGATGGGTGGAAAGGAACTGCTCAACCACTGTAGCAAGTTTATTCATACACTCAAGAGGAAGATGTTAATGTCAACCCCACTGCCTAGTAACTCATTGCTTGGATTGTTTAGAGTCTTGGTGTTTTTCCCTGCTGAGGTAGCTTCTTCACGTGGCTCACCCCAGGGGCTCTTTGTTCTTGGGAAGAGCATGCCCTGGCCATGCTGTAGCCCTGTACCTGCGGTTAATTTCCAGCTTCAACTGCTCCTAACAATGGAAGGTCTTATGTCTATTTTTAGGTTTAAGATTCTTAGATTATGTCAACAATCACTTATATATAGCACCACATCTGTGCAAGTACCTAACACACAATTTATCTATAATTAAATCATTGTACATGTGTTCACTATGGGTTTGCCCTGCAGTTAAGAAGCACAGATTTCAGCTTTTGTGCACTACATAGTGCACTATATATGTAGAAAATAAAAGAGGAAAAATATTATGAAGTCATGTGTAAAGGTTGGGTGTGTCAGTTTAAGCAGTTTAGTTAAGAGAAACTTAACTGAACTGGCTCAGCAATTCTATACTCTAGGGTGCACCCTGGGGCTGCTTGTGCCCTGCATGGGATAAAGGGGATACAAGGAAGGATAGATCTGCTTCTACTCTTCTCCTTCAGCTTGGGCATCTTCTCCTGGATTCTGGTGCAGGCACAGACTTTATCTTCCATCATGGACTCTTGAGCCTTCAGATACAGACTCCCGCAGGACACTGCAATGAGCTCCAGACCTAAGGCTGAATCCTTTGGTCTCTAGCGTGCAGACACCCTCTACACACTTCCTCATCCGACTCCGACTCCTTGGGTGACCACTGTAAGCCAATTTTATTATTTCTTATACATTTGTGTGTCTTGTGTTATGTGTGTTTCTGTAGTAAACACTGACTGATACATTATGTTAGTGATGGTATACTAAAATCCATTTATTGATAAGTGAGTGACTCTTTCCCAGTTATATTGATTAAAGCAGTTTCCCAGTTCTGTTTACAGAGGTAAAACCATCCCTTTTTTTTCTTAGTGAATATTGGTGAGAAAAACCGCTCTCTAGCATTTCTGCTGCATTCCCGTATTTCATTACTGAGTGACATAGAAAGTCATAAAACAGTATTTTAAGAATAGAAAGATATTGAGGGTTGAACCCAGGTTCTTTGCATTGATCTACATCCTCTAACCTGTCTTTATCTTTCTTTCTTCCTTCAGAGTCTTACTACATTGCTTTTGCTGGGGTCAAATTTGGAATCCTCTTGACTCAGCCTCCTATAATGCTGATATTACAGGCATGCCCCACCACACTGGCTAAGATGTAAGTGCTTTTATAGTTGTTCTTCTGATCTTGTGAATTGATATGTGTTTTTAGATAATAAAGTTAAAAATAATAATTATCAGGCTAAGTGGTAATTTGGAAATATAAGGATAATTCAAGGTTTAAGCATTCCTTCCATATGTGAACTTAGGGTGCTTGACAAGTTGCAGGTCTGCATTCAAAATGCAACAGAATGTTTGAAGTTGGTTGTCACTTAAAATGATTTTTTTTTCCCCTGTAAGGACCTACGCTTTATTCCAGCATGGAGTTGTAAAGAGAATCCTTCATGTTGTTAGAAGAATTAACTAAAGTTTTCCTTGAGTAGGGGATGGAACTCAACTTTGCTTCAGTACGGTCCATGGATGACCCACCTGCATCAGCATTAATTGCTTGTCAAAATTGCACACTCCTTGTCCCTGGCAGAGGCCACCAGGAGGGGCTGCAGATGCCAGTATTGTATTAAAGTCTCTCATGCTATTTAAACACAATAATGTCTGAGAGCAACTCCCTGGATTAAATACAACAGATTCATGACAGTGAAATTTGGATTCAGGATTATCACTTCATTATTCAAAGCATGTAGAAACAATTTTTTAACTTTAAAAATATAAATAAATACATATAAAAATGTGAAAATATGGTTTTAAAAATCATCCTATAATACTGTTACTCCAGAAAAATTTCCTTCTAGTCTCTGGATGTCATGATACATTATAGATCATCATAGATCCTAGAAACTCCAAATGGCACAGGCTGTGTTTGTGCTGGTTCTCCAGTTCTTAATACAAGGTAATAAACACTCAAATATTTGTTGGATGAATAATGTGAACAAATGAAATTGGAATCATTTGATTCTGACTCTCTAGACATTATTTATTTAAAAAAATGCCAGCACTAAACAGAAGATCACTTTCTGATTCTCAGGGGCATCAAATCCATAACAAATCGACCTAGAGTTTTACTCCTATTAATTTAATCCCAACAACAACATGTATGATTTTATCACCATTTTATAAATCAAGAAGCTGGAGCACAGAGAGGCTGGGTAAATAATCCCATAGTTTACTGCCACTGTGTGGGAGTGCAGACTACTGAAATTTTATGACTTATCTGCTATCTGCTTCTTACTAGCAAATACGTGCCTGATGTTTTTGCTACTACACCAGACAGAAGACACTCTGAATACAAGGTGATTGTATGACGTTAGGCGCCTCACTCTGCTCTTTACAAACCTCTGCAAGCTTGCCATCCCAAGTCAGGTGTGGACTGCAGAGCTTTGAGTTACTGTAACAGCAAGCAGAAACACTGAAAGGACACCTAGGATTTGGAAGCAGATTTATTTACATCGAGGGGCACTGACAGGGATTCCTCCCAAAATATCCTGTCCCGATCTCTGGTGGTCTAGGGCCTATATGAGATAGTTTGCCAGTTGGGGATTGGTTTATACAATTTGCATCACAGTGACCAGCAGTTTCTAAGAGTCAAGAGTAACCAGAACAGGACCAGGAACTATCACCTGGGTAACTAACAAAATGTAGTATACTGGCTGGGGGGTGGGGGTGATGTTTTCTGTTACACTACCACTGCACACTCCGTGTGGCTTTCTGGACTCCAGGAATGTGACTACCTATAGGTGCATCTCGTTTGCCACAACATCCACATTAAAACATCACACAACGCACATATCTTTTTTTGATTTGGGACACAGACGCACAAACACACGCACACACGCGCGCTAAACAGCCAGAACCTCTCAGGCATTCTGATCACAGTGAACTGTTTAATAAACTAAGCACTGGAATCATTTCCTGGGGTAATATCCGGGAGGGGGGTGTGGTGAGAGTCTCCTGCTCGGGATGGTTACTGATACTGCCATGCGCCCATGCCATCCCATCCCGTGCCTCGTATCTGAAAACCGCACTTTGCCACTCCTGCTACTCATGTCATTCTCCCTTAGCACGTGCTTGAAAACCACGAAATGTGACATAAACCGCAAGCTCTTCTCCTCTAATCCTCCACAAGCTCGCGTGGCTCCTGCAGCATAGCTGCCCCCTGCCCCTCCTGGAACAGGTAGAATCCTCGCCCAGCCAGCCGCCCTAGCCGGCCGTCCAGTGCGCGTGGCGACACGCGGGCCTGCAAATCATCGCCCGGCCGGCAGGGGGCGCGCTGCCTGCGCAGGACAGGCAGGGCGCCGGAAGGGGGCGCCCGAGGCCACAGGGGCCGCCGCCTAGCCGGCCCGCGCGTGGTCCTCCGGCCGCGGCCCCCGGGGGCGGGCTGGGCGGGGCAAGACGGCCCTGCACGGGGCCGCGCGGCGCGAGCTCGAGGGGGCGGGGAGGCGCGGGCGGCGTGCGCGCGCCGGGCGTGGGTGATAGCGCGGCGCGGCGGGAGCGCGGCAGAGAGGGACGCGGCCACCCTGGACAGCGCACCGCCGCCGCCGCGCGTCATGGTGAGTGCGGGCCGCGCGCCGCCTTTCTCTGCCCCGCCGCGCTCTTGGCGGGAACCGGGCGGCGGCCCGCGGTGCGGGGCTGGGGTTCGGGCGCCGGAGGCCCGGCGGGGTGCGGCGGCGTTGGGCGGGGACGCGGACCGCGGGCCGGGAGGGAACTTGGTCCCGCGCCTCCCCACCTCCCTGTTGCACGCCCGCGGTCGTTCGGGGGCGGGGGCCGCGGGGACAAGCGGGTCGCTGCCGCCTGCTCCGGGCCCTCCCGCCGCCGCCAGCCCGCCGGGGACAGCGCGACCCCGGCCCGGCAGCGCTGGGCCCCAGCGGGCCAGGTTCGCGCGGCGCGGCGCGGCGGGGGTGTGTCGGGTCGGTGCCGGCCGTGTCGGTGCCGGCGCCCGCGGCTCCACGTGCAGGGCTCTGCCCGCTGCTGCGGGGCTCCGCGCCTGCCTCCCCGAGAGCGCGCCTGCCTGCCCCTGCCGGGGTCCCAGCCTCTGCCGGTTCCCGCGTCCGGCGTCCAGCGTCCAGAGAGCTGCCGGAGTTTGGGCGCCAGAACCTGGTTCTTTGGTTACAAAGAGATAAACTGCATTCTGCTAGCGCTCTAAGGAGCCTTCGGGGTGAACTGTGAAATCAGCCAGCAGCTGTCCCCGCAGAGGTGGCGAAGGGTACTAATCTCCTTTCTTGTCCTCTCCCGCCTCCTCCTCCTGATACTCATCAGCCTTGGATCCCCCCGCCCACGCGCACACACACACACACGCACACACACTCATACCCACCGTTTTAGACGCATGGTTTTCCCCGACGATGTGTAAAGCCTTTTTCTGACCACTTTTATCTAAAACTGCAGGCTTCCCCACCCTACCCACGTTCCTATCTCCCTGGCCTGCTTTATTTTGTTTTTGGCATTTATGGTTTTAGTTTGCTGCGTGTTTTGTTTCATCAAAATGTGTTTCAAGGACAGAGGTTTTTTGTTTTTTTTTTTTTTTTTTTTTGGTACCAGGGATTGAACTCATGACTGCTCGCTTGCAAGGGAGGCGCTTGTGCTGAGCTAAATCCCCGGCCCAAGGACAGAGGTTTTTGTCAGTGTATTTACTGCTGTTTCTAGCACCGACAGTGTCTGGCACACAGTAGTTGCGCAATAGCTCTTTTAAAAACCCAGTAAAGCACTGTAGGCTGATGAACAAGTGAGAAGCAGCCGCTGCCGCCCCACATGGTGATTGAGCAGAGTTAACAGTTGTGATGATGAGGCTCTTAAGTGGCCTTTGGGAAGGCAAGGTGCAAATGTGGGGGGGGCTCCGTTTGGTGGCCCTCAAGAGTGTACATGCTCAAGCATCCGTGCTTGGGGACACTTCACGCGTTTGGTGCTTGGCGTCTCAATGAACAAAGCATTTGTGGGCTAATGCTCTCTCCTTTGGGATCTAAACCTTTGCTCCGGAGTACAGGTAGGAATCTTAACAAGTAAGGGAAAGTCCAAGGATGTGTCCTTAACTGAGTTGAAAAAGGTGGGAATTATTAACTTAAAAGAGCCCAAAGCAAGCCAGGCTCCTACAGGAGTATCCTATATAAGTGTGATAGTGTTGTTTTGATAGGCATTTTAAAAATGCACCTGAATCCGAATTATATCACTTTTTAAAACAGGGCAGGAAATAGGGAACGGGTTGAGGGTAGAATTAACTATGTGAACTAGTAGGTCAGTTCAGAGAGACCCTTTTAATTCACGTTCAGTATGAATTATTGTCTCTTAAGATGTCTCTGCCAATTAGTTATTATTCCAAAAGAAATATTTTTCCTTCGCATTTCCTTTGGTTTTCCCATTTCCATAGTGTAAATTTATGGCAGTGCTTTGTCTAGAGAAGTGTGTCTATTATAATTGGAGACAAATTGCTTAATAAAATTTACAAAGGCTTTTGAAAATGATGTAATTGCAGCTACGACTGCAGCTCAGGTCTATGACCATTTTGTCCAGGTAGTAGAAATTACAGGTAAAAGTGAGAGAGAAGCTTGTCTTTGAAATTTAAACTGAATATTCTTCTTGATCCCAATTTATGCTTGTAAGTTTTCAGGTGTTGGGATTTAGTCAAAATTTGAATTTCTTTCTTCTTTTTCTGCTTCTTGGAAGTGTAATATTTTCAAGGAGTGTAAAATTCATTTGTAAAGTATCCAGTTGGATGAGCTTGATTTTTGATTCTCCTGTGTTCTGTATCCTTGCCTCCTCCTTTCCTCCCCTCCTTCCCTCCCTTCCTCCCTCCCTCCCCCCTTCCTGTTCCTTTCGGATAGAATCTCATTGTGTGGTTTGGGGTGGCCTTGGACTAGCTCTGTAGCTCAGGTCGACCTCATGATCCTCCAATGCTGCCATTACAGAAGTGCACCACTGTGCTTAGCATTTTTTAAGTCTTCAACAAAATGTTGTATCTTAATCCACCTTCCTTCAAAGCATTTTAGTCAGTTTGGAAGGTTCAAGGATTTCATAGTCTAAAAGAGATGATTGAAATTTGTTACATGGGTTGATGTATTTAATTATGTCCAGAAAACTGGGCTCTGCTGTTGAGAGTTTTCCATTTCCTCTCACTGTTGGACATTTAGACATACACCAGTTAACTTGGAGTGTTGACTTTTAGGAGTAGATACTGATAAATGGCAGGAAGTTGCACTGGAGCCTTGTGTGGTTTCCCAATGTGGCAAAAGTATGCCACCAGGAGCAGCTCATCATACTTAGAAGTTACACATTTACACATTTTTATTTTCTTCTTAAATTAGGACTTCAACAGGTATCACTGGTTCTGACAGTAAGTCAGTGATTTGGTAATTTAAAATTGCTTTTAAAATTGCATCATTTAGTAATAGCATAATTTGTTCTGGAGTAAATGTGACAGCTTAAAGTCTGAGACTTTGTATGTTCAATTCATTGGTTTGAAGCTCAACCTCAACTTTGAACATGTGACCTGGGGCCTCAGGATTTTCTTCTATAAAGATTATAATGTCTCGTCAGTTTTGTGAAACAACAAATAAGATGCACTTTGTGTCTAGCATAGTGCTTAGAGTGCCCAGTAAATATCCACTGCTAAAAGTGTGTTATTTCTCCTTTATCTGTGTTTGATTGGAAAGACAGTTTAGAAGGTCATCTTTGATTCACTTTATACTTCTTTGTGAGTTGAACCCAGACCGAACTACATAGCAAGACCTGGTGTTTAAATACTAAAAGAATGAAAAGAGATAAAAGAGAATTTCAATATTTAACCTACTCCATGCAAATATTTCAACTTGTAATCAATGCAAAAGACAAAAAAAAACCCTGTTATTTTACATTTTTTTCATAACATCTTCAGACTCGGCATGTTTATATTTCCAGCTCTGTTTGGGCTGGCCCACGCCTCAGTTCTCATTAGGCATGCACGTTGGGGGCCATTGTTTGATGGAGTCAGCCCTAGGTGTGCACATCCTCCAAATCTACCTCTTATCTACTGAGCGCTCTTACGGCGAGAACCTCACTGCCACCGTAAACCCAGCACTGCGCGTAGAGCTGCTCGTCTTTCAGGTTGTTCTCTCCCCTTGTGCCCAGTAATTCCATCAGCTCTCCAGTCTACTGTGTCTGAAATCCGATTCTCACTCCCTTTTTTCTTTTATATTGTTTATTGACCTGATAGTCTTATATATTTTTTTGAAAATATTTGTTCATCTTTTCTCTTTTGCCATTTTTGTCTTTTGTATAGGCTTCCACTTTCATAGTCAGGAAGTTCTTTTAACTTTCTGCCTCTCTTGAAAAATGTAGTTCTCCGTCCACATGATAAGACTCTACATTCTCTATTCTTCCCTCAATCTTTTTTCATATTACATTATAAATAGTTTCTATTTTATGCGTTATTCTTATGTTTAATACTTTCCCTTTATCATGTATTCAGAGAAGCATAATTACTTTAACTGGTAACTGGTATTGTGGTAAGATGATTTGCCTAAGAAAAGAAAGAAGAAAAATCCATAAATGGGAAAAACAAAATTGTTCCTTGAACTTCTGCCTTCCAAGAGGCGTCAGTGAAACCAGTTAATAATAATCACAGCAACACTAACCAGAACAGAGATGATGCCTGACATGTATATGGTGCTTTATAAAAAATAGGGCACATTGTCTGTGCTGGTAAACAGAGGCACAATACAAAAAAAAGGATGGACCGAGAGAGAGAGAGAGAGAGAGAGAGAGAGAGAGAGAGAGAGAGAGAGAGAGAGAGAGCGTGTGCTCTGATTTCTGGTCCTGGCTTTATCATTTACTAGTTCTAGTCCCTTGGTCAAGTCACTGAGAAACTTTACTATTCTTACAGCTAACTGGGGTGTTATCTTTTTCACATGATTGTTTTGTTTAACTTAATTGCAGCCTCATGCCTGTAATACTGGCTGTCCTATGGGCTAGTGGGTATTCCTGAGTGGGCTGGATGTCTGTCTGAGTGCTTTCATAATTAGACTGCCTAACCACTGGGCTGGGGTCTGCCCTACCGTACCCCCATGCACTGGATCCTCTCTCACTGCTCTATGTTTTCTCTGTGACACATAATTAACAGTCTTGGACCTTCTAATCCTGTGCTTACTTATTATGTCACTTGCTTTTGTTTCTCCTTACCTGAATGCTGATTTCACAAGGACAGAGGTTTTTGGCTGGATTTCTGAGTAATGTATGACAAGTACCAAGCCTGACATGAGATGGCATCTAAGGTGAACAATAAATGTTATTTGAAATAATTACTACAGGGGCTGAGGGTTTAGCTCAGTGGCACAGTGCCTGCCTGGCAAGTGTGAGGTCCCGAGTTTGATTCCTGGTACCCAGAATAATAATAATAATAATAAACAACTACTGTAAGAGACAGATTGTCACCAGTCCCCCGCGGAATACGTCTTCTCTCTCTGCACGCACTTACCTCATTGCTGCTGTACTTTGTAAAGCAGTGCTGGAAGGCCTCTTTCATGAGTGTCTTTATGAGGCGTGCCCAGGTGAATGTCGCCCCCCAGTGCCATCCGACAGACAC